ATTTGCTGTATACGGTACCTTTCATTGAGCAATAAAATGCTTGGATAACTGCAGAGTGAGTTAATGAACGATTAATGATGTAGCATGGAAGTCCAACTCGACTACGATAAGGAAGAGCCACCATTTAGATATATCAGCTTATTTTTTCATGTTGCAAAAGAAAATACTGAACTCTATACTAGTCTGTTTTTTATTTTATTTATTTATTTCGGGCAATACAGATTCAAATACATTGAGCACTAGATATCGAAAACTGCTTTACAAATAGAAAACAAGCCTCTGGATTACTCAAAAGCGAAATAAACCACCATACAAGGTCAGATCACACACACAAATAATTGAGGAACCAAAAATACTATACACAAATTATATATGATATATAAATATAAAGTATATAATAATATATACATTTCATTGCATTTTATCAAATTATAATAAAAACAGAATATTAATCAATTCATTTGTTTCGAGTAAGTTTTAAAGTTGGGGGAGGCTTATTACTATATTTAAAATACTTGAGGAGGGCGCCTTAACGTAAGAAAAGGACATAAATATAAAACGGCAAAGTTCAGCAGAACATATATCTTCTACACTGGGTCAGTGGGCAGAAAAGAAATATCGGCTACCACCCCACCAATATTGATATCAATATATCCACACCAAAAAATATCCACACCAAAAATATATAACGACTGGTCATATAATTACACAGCTTGAAAACAATGTTGGAGATAAGAGGAAAATACAAGTACATATATAACTACAGAATCCAGCATGTACAAACCAAATCAGCCGAAAGAAAAAAATTAGGAGGCAAGATCAATTATTCTAACAAAAGGTGGTGCATGCCATTTTTGTAACGAGAGGAGATAATAGCGTGATCCCTGAAGTCGGTAATGAATTCCAAAGATTGGGGAAAATTGAAAACAGGGAATTTGATAGATTTGGTTCAGGCAAAAGGGATTCTAAATCTGAAATCATCAAGGTCCTGTTTTCAGGACGGAGACGAGGGTCAATGTCTAGTCGTTTGTAAAAACAAGAACATAAAAGTAATAAGCTGGTATTCGTGACGGTCAGCAATAATTAGGAGATTAAGAAGTTCAAGGCGAGCAGGGTAGCTAAGATCTCTGTTGAAATTGAACCAATCTCTAGTAAATCTCCTCTATACAATTTCCAGGGCATTGACATGATTGGATTGATGGGGAAACCATGCAGGAATGGCATACTCTAAGATAGGTCTACAAAGGGCCTTAAAAAACAAACAAAATTAGAGAGACCGAATCCTTCGAGCAAACAGTTCGTCTAATTACTCTGGAAATCCTAGAAGCTCTAGCAGCAACATTTGACATGTGGGAATTCCAAGACAAGTCGCTAGAGGTTGTCACGCCAAGATACTTGTATTGCTTTATAACCTCCAGGGCTTCCGAACCTATAAAGTAAGGACAAACAACAGGTGATCTATTCCGAGTAATTTGCACAACTTTCAATTTGTTCACATTAAGCATCATGCTCTTAATTGTACCCCATGAAATCCACGTTTATTTGTACTCCATCTTTATTTGAATAAGAAGGTTTTTTCCTCAGTTTTTAAATCCTGACGTTCATGTCGCAGTTTTTAATTTTTTCTTAGCACTAACGATTAGTTCACAGCTGATACCTCACCAACTTGGTACTTACGAGTAATAAGTCAATTTGTGGCAAGCTGGAAACTTCCCGTCAGAGTCTCTGCCTTTGCTCCCGCACATGGAAAATAGTGCAGCTGTACGTCTTTCCACACACGTAACTTATAACCGATCCTCTGTTGACTTATTCCGCTCAACTTCTTAAGGACGATTACCGTCATAGAACGCTCAAACGGTTACCAAATTGAAAGATTTCCACGCATGAAACGACGCGGACGAACGCTGAAAGTGTAATCAGCCATTTGGATGAATGATAGTCACGCCAATTATTTGCGCATTCAAACTGTTTAGCCTTATTCACGAAACTAACGGCAACGCATATGACGCGCGTTTCCTATCTATCTTTCTTTTACTTTTCTGATATCTATGTTCGAAATACGGCACAGCTGATGCGGGTCACGAAAACTGAAGTAAAAAATGGCAAAACACTTGGCAATCTGTCGGAAGTGACTTCACTTTGAGAGAGGCCTAGAAAAGGAAGTCACCAACGCCACCTCAATGCGGCAATATATTACAGAACACAGAAAGCCGCGTACCCCCAGTATACAACTTGAGTCCCGTCGGGTCTCCGTCATATGACCCTGCATATCCACTTAAGAACGGTTTGTTTGATGATTCTACATGACTACCAACTACGTAAACAGTGGAGCGTATTGGATTAGTGAATTTGTACGAGTATCTTGACAATATCTCTCTTCAGGGGTTCTCTGTGTTGCTGCCGTTTCAAAGATAAAATTCTAAGGCTTGCATCGGTTTTCTCTTGATAAAGACAGTCGTTTGTTCCAACTGTTTCAAAACGCCAAAGTTCTTCTTTAAGTCTACACGTCATTTTTGCGAGAAAATTATACAAAACCCACAAATTTGTGATGCAGGTTTATCTTCAAATTTTGCTCTGTTTGTTTGAGATTTTGCCAAGCGACAGTTGATGTTTATTGAGCACATACAGTGGCTAGACAGGAAGCCTGAAGGAGACTGGGGCCATTTTGGGACTTTAATCTTTTGATCTGCCAATGACATCTTTAACTGGACCCCCGGGGAGGCCTAGCACAATTTCATCACGAGTATCACATAATCATTTCGGTCTGCACTGATAAGGTCGCCTTGATTTAAAGTGAGGATGCACTAGAAACAGTGCTTGGAATGTAGAAAGAATGCATCGTCTGGATAACTTTAGTCGGACCCGTTCTGAACGGAAATGCGTGCCCTGTTGGTATAATAATGTACGCTGCTTGCGTACAGAATCGCTCTACCGCAATAAGACATGACCGTAAACTTACCAAGCGAAGACATTTCTCGCTGTTAAATCTTGTTTACCCAGCTCACCCGTGTATGGGCCTCTTCTCAACCCAAGAGCTGCATGGACGGACCTCGTGGGCAGAGCTCCTCAGGCACTAGGCAAGAAAACATTACGTGAACGTATCGAGGAGATTTTTCAATTTCAGAAACGAGAAGAAAAGAATTGAAAAATAATAGAAAAAGGAAAAGCGAGATTAATTCCCAAATGAGCAACATTGGATTCTAATTACGATGCAAATGTTGGAGTTCAATGATAGCAATGAAGAATTTTCATACAGCGCACACATCTACCTAAAATTGCTCAAAGCGCTACAAATATTAACAACGCAAGAAAATTTACAGGCTAACTCTTTAAGCAAGTCTATCCAAATATGTTTGATAGCCGTTTAAAACGAACTTAGATAAATGTGCTGGACCGCAAACTTAGGGAGCAGTAATCCTGACAGATCTGTCACCTCAGGACCGGTATGATCTTGGTACACATAGAAGATGTACCCGAGTTTGCATCAATTCAAATAAACTATAATCCAACATCTAAGAAAGACTGGGCAAAATGTAGACACAAAAAAGTAGCCAGAACACATCAAATTTATTCCTTATTGAAAGATGAAAAGTACTTTATATAGCATTATAACCCTGAAAAAATAGATAGCATAAGTCATTTTCCGGGGCCGGGGTGCGGGCGTTCCTGGTATCCCTTATATGCGCCCACTGTGCATGTTAAGAGGCCCAGTAGAATCCTTGCAATTGGGCCAAACCATAGCGTAGCGGGGGGGGAGCGGGTTAGCGTGGTGGTTCTTTCCTCGCTTTGCACCAATGAGGCCCGGGTTCGAGTCCTGGCTTGGCCCAGGCTTTAAGTGCATTTGGTTTCCAGTCCATACTCGCTCTCGCAGGTTTTCTCCGGGTACTCCTGTTTCCTCCTGCTTCTAAAACTGGACCTTCTTCCTAACTCCGTAATGTGATGCTGATTAATAAAGTGTATGAATAAACGTACAATTATTGGCGCAAATAGCCCGAACGTCATTAAAACAAAACAACAACATAGTTCTACCCTACCCCATCCCTCTGGTCACAATTGGTTTGACCGAAACGGGGGGGGGGAGAGACACGAGGGCAATCTCCTCATTGTTACGAAACTACCCCTACTGTAGAGTCGTCAAAATAATCTACAGTTTGCTGTAGATTCGTCAAAATAATGTACAGTTTGCTGTAGATTCGTCTAAATAATCTACAGTTTGCTGTAGATTCGTCAAAATAATCTACAGTTTGCTGTAGATTCGTCAAAATAATCTACAGTTTGCTGTAGATTCGTCAAAATAATCTACAGTTTGCTGTAGATTCGTGAAAAATGATCTACACTTTTAACAAAGGAGTGACGTCGCAGAAATAGTTTAACCCTAAACCCCTAGGGAATATGTAAAATCATATTGAAATCAGAGGATTTCGGACTGTTAGGGTTAATAAACGTTAATATACAGTCATATGATGCGTGTCGACCAATAGGAATGGAAAACTGTCCCACGTATTTATGAATGGAATATAAACAACCACAGCAAATCAATTTCGTATGCTTGAACGGAGGCAGACACTGACAGGATATTTATTTGGATTATGAGATTGGTGACACCGTCGTCTGAGCTATTTGTTCCTTGATGCCGTTCCTCGCTCACTCGCTGCTGTTTACCCCGTTTCTTCCATCCAGCTCATTCATCGTAACCTTTTAATAATGCAGCACCATAATCATGCAGCACCAGTGACGTTCGCTGCTTGTTGATTACTATTCATGCAGCATTGCACAACTGGGCGTCAACATCTGCCGCGCAAAATTCCTCGCATCCAATGAAAGCAGCTCTCAGTTCAATGTTTCCTGTATTAACCGCGCTCACTTCGTGTATTGCATATTCATAAGGTCATCGATGCAAATTCTTGCAGAGTGCGGTCGTAGGAGTGCTGGTACAATGCTGCTTGGGTATAAAACCCGTCTTGGCCAGGTTACGGACCATTTAAAGCGAACGTGTTGCCAGGGAGCCGAATGTGCGACGGCGCGGTGATGAAAGCTTATCTCTGACACTTCGCTGAGGCCGCTCATCTTCCGCGCAATCAATAAAAACGACTGCAGTCAAGCGGCTGTGCCGCTCCCATTGGCCAGCTGACAATACTGGAATCGGAACTCTCGGAGACAATTTCCCCGTATTTATTTTTCATCTGCTCGATAAGGCTGCGATGAGCGCAGGGGACGCTGCTAAATCGGGCGTAAGGCTCTGCTCGTTTTCTGCCCGCCGATGACGCGGACGAAAATTGAGCGGTAGAACTCGATTTCGGTGCGAAACCGGACCTGGACTGGGCGTCGCGGGGGGATGAATTTTATGATGCTCGGCGCAGGTTGCTATCGGGTGGTCACCATCCACGACGTCCTGAGAATGAGCCTTGGCTGTGAGACGTACTAGTTGCTGTGCATTTCGAGTTTTGTTGATGTCATAATCCACAGTGACGTTTTTGACTGAGTGGCTTGGACACGTGTTGTTAATCCGGTAGGGCTTAGGGAGTATTTGCTTTATTTCAAACTTACGGGTCGTGCAGCTTTTTTCTTCAGACCTCTTAGAAGCTTCGAAGAAAAACAAGACAAAAGAGAAGCGCTGTAATAAAGAGGCTGCAAAGTCTGGTCGGATCAGTTGGTTCCAGTTCCAATCGGCGGGGAGTTTCAAGTTTCCTCATTGTTCACCACTGAGCTGATGGTTTCACCTGTGTGCTTGACTTGAAGCTTGTTGTTGAGGTAAGTCAGCGGCATTTTGCTTTTGACAACCGTCTCTGATGAATCCGAAAATAACAATCCCCTTTTTCGCTTTGTAGTTAAGCAGAACACTTTGCCAAATACCAGTCTGGACGGGTTTCTCTTGTGGCTGGCGTTAAACAAACGTCAAACAAGCGTCAAATTGGCGCGTCCACTCGAAATTATGAACAACTCGATGCATAGAACCCGTGCATTGTGGGATTTCGTGTAGATATTAGAACCAAAACAGAACTCATCACATGCATCCTGCGAAGCCTTTCTCTGAGATTAACATTACAGTAACAGTCAGACTGGTGCATATTTGTCATAGATGTACAGTTCCCAATGTGTTAAACAGTATCAAACCGATATCGCGAAATTAGTGGTCACTCTCCGTGTCAAACGTGCGAGTCGCAGACGCATTAACATTAACAACTCCGGTTGGCTATTAATCAGGTTGTCTATATGCAATCGTCTGAATCAGTCTGGCAACCTGGAAGATCAGTAAATTGCACGATATAATTGATCATCGCTCGACGCGATTACGAAGGAACATCAGGAAGCGTTATTACCATAGCAACCAAAAGCAATCCGATCTCAGTATGAAGTCTTCTTTCTTAATGTTTCCTGTGGAAATTTGTCCACTGGACGGAGGGAATGAGCGTTGAGAAATTAAAAACTAATCGGGGATATATTTCGATGCTTGTGAATCACACATCGCAAACCATCCGTTGCTGAGACGTAATGAAGCGGAGGGACTCGGATTTCAGCGAGAAATGTCACTTGATTACGCCCACCACCATACGATAATTATGTTTGTCAGGGAAGACGACGAAGACACACCCCAGATGGAACATCAAGGGTCCTCTGCGCGGATTTCACTGAACTGCTGCTGAAGGCACGCTTTATCCGCATGCCATCGTCGGGCTTCTCCAACTTCATGTATGAACCTAATCTTGAAAATGACTCACAAGTTGCCAAAGCCATTTTCGGGTCAAAAGCCTTTAATGGGATTTTGCACAACGTAAACCATTAGGAACTCTCAACTTCTCTTACAATGTCCATTTTCAACAGAATATCAAACTGAGCGCTACAGCAAAAAGAGATTAAGGTTTACTCTTTTAATCTTACGCTCTCCACTCCTTTGCTATTTTGAGGGTGGTTCAACACTCTTGCGGCACATCACGGGAACCTTGAATTGAAGATGGGCGTGAGTTTTTTTTTAATTTTTAGCGAACACATTGCGTTCAGCATTATTAAAGGTAACATGCCATGGACTGTACAACAATACGAACAGATCTCAACAGACTAGGAGAAAGGCCCTTAAGATCTAAATACTTTTTTCATTAAAAGTGATAATGTGGTTGGTTTTGCTTGATTACAAAATCCTTTTATCAATCAATCACACAGGGCCAAACTCACCAAAAGAGCACAAGAAAAGGTACAAAAGAGTCTTTCACAATATCCAGGTTTTGAAGAAATTTTGACCATTAATATTGTCCAAACAAGCTATGGAAAGTGATAAACAAGTACAAATGTGGATCGTGCATCAGGCAAATGTGGAAAAGTGTGATACACACTCAGACACGGGGCTATGGGGGCCACTACTGTTGTGCCTTTGAATGGCACCACACGCGACATTTTCCTTACCATAAAACCAAAAAAGTCGAAGTTTCTCCCTTTTACTGCCACAAAGGCGGACAGCCATATAGTTACATTGCATGAAGGCTTTCCAACATGCATTTAAGTCATAAATATTCTACTTTATCGCCACTGAGCACAACGGCGTAATTTGGGCCAGCCAAGCCTAGCAAAGGCCCTTTTCAGTGTAACGTTGAACTGCAGGGGCGCAATTTCTTAGAGTTGCGTCGAAGAAAGGACTGTAAATGCGCATGTCGAGCAAAAATTAGCTGAGAACCTCGAAGGAGCTTAACGTATCACGTTGGGTTTTGACTGGTAAGCTGTTTTCTGCTTAGAAAATATAATATCTATACCTTCACATTTCTGTGCATACCAGCTCCCATGAAACTGACTCTGTATTATGGTTGAAGCTATGGCCGCGTCCGACCGACTTGGCTACGGCTTGACTACACACGACTCTGGGTAATTTCTGGTCGCAGCCAAGTAATTCGGACACGACCTTCGTGTCTTTGCAAAGAAGTATAGGCCTACACGTACCTCTTAATTTTAAAATGGTACGCGGGAGACTCTTGGCGTCGATTTGGTGACGACTCACTCAGTGAGACCGTCCCCTGATACGGAATCTGCAACACTGGCCGAGTTGCAACTCCGTTTCGTTTTCTTTCTGCCTTTGACTCACAAGTGGCTGTTCATTAAATCTGCCTAAACTATGAACGCAAATGATCATTTGGGTCAACAATTTCACTTAAAATGGCTATAGTCAGACTGTGCCTGAGACTTTTCTCCAAAATGTTTTCGTTTCTATCCAAGGCCACTGTTGCATTGAGAAATTCATGAGTTCAATCCAGTTTTACCTGTCGAAGTCATCCCGTAGGCATTTTACATGCGATTATCAGAGGCATTGCTACGATCAAAGGAAGACCGCCTACTAAGACTCCTGACTCGTGGCGTGCTTTATCAATAATACAGCATAACATCAATTACCCATTTTCGTGCCATGTGCACGTGTCGAAATACCTAGACCTGTGTGTATTTCATTCCAAACGAAACGCCGTCTTGCGTGACTAGCATAATTATGCTGTTCAAATAGCAAGAGGTATCGTGTATGTTGTAACCTTTAATACTGCTGTCAGCTTCCTTTTGGACAAAAAAATCTTGGAAGTCAATTTGAACTGACATAGCGAAGATTTTATTTCCCTTTACAATCACCAGTATCATGTAAAAAATAACCGAGTGATGTATTAAAATATCACCTCGGCTGGGATAAATAACTTCCAATTAACTAGAAGCGTAATGTACCAATTCAAGTATAAACAAAGGGGAAGGGCAAACAAAAGGGTATCAAAAGATTGACCACTGAGGCCAAATGTCAATTGAGGCAGAATGCATAATGGTTTACAAAAGAAAATCCACCATGTTAAAGACTTTTTCTATAAACTGCGTATTTTCACAGACGATTCTGCTGCACAGTGCTACCAGATAAATGGAATAACAAAACACAACTATGTGAAGTTTGCGGTGACACCATGTAAAGAACCACACACACTCAAAGAGAGAATTTGATTACATGGTGTCACCGCAAACTTCACATAGTTAGTACTTTCGCCATACATAGCCTCAAGTCTTATTTAACAAAACACAACTTTGTTTCTTCATTACACGTCCGCGAATCAGACTTTGTAGTCAGCCTCTGTATTAAAGAAAAAAACATGAGCTTCCAACATGCATATGCATGACTACAGTACCTCATATGTCATGGACAATATAACCAGAATCGGTAAATGCTGAGGTAGAATAATAGGAAATTGGCCGTCTTGTGTGAATACGCTGTTGCCATAAAAAGGACTGCGCAGCATTGAAGGGCGAAACAGTGCCTCATTAAGCACAGTTGTTGAGCTGTTTGAAGCAAAGTTTAAGGAGTAAAAAAAGTGAACGTTTGCCATTTGTTAGACCAGCTGCCGTCATAAGTGGTGCAGACAATGATTGGGAATGCCGCGGGCACGCCTTTGTTATTGTCCATTAACGCTAACATTTTGAACTCAAAAGATTACATTCATACCAAGCAAAACCAGACTACGTGCGCCAATAATTCCTCCCTGTATTTCCCTTGTGGTTGCCGCCTCTAGCTGTTTTAACATGCGTCTATCATTCATTCTACTTGACCGAAGAAACGAAGAGCAAGGCGTTGAGCTCGAACGCCGACGTTTTCCGCAAACAATCCCGGCTGCTGTGTCATCCTATCCGGATGATTTTTACGCACGGTGTCAGAGGCAAAGTAAATAAAGCCAGCACCGGAGACGCACGATTTTGTCCCAGAGGTAACCTCTGCCCATAAAAACTGAGCTTTTTCTTTTCAATGTAAAACTTCATTCACATGACTTAATGTTTCTTTTTAATTTCAGTGGCGGGCATTCGTGCTTGAAATTTAACAAATTATTCATCATAGGCAGCGTTTGCATACATATGGGGTAACTTTAATTTTAAAAATGTAATAATCCGATGTGTTTATGGCGCGCATTACATTGAATTGGAAAATAAAATATCCCCGTAACCGCCAGATGGCATTACACTGTTTAACAACCCATCCCACCATAATTATACCAAACAAAAAGCTTGAGAGAATAGATACAAAATGCGTTCTTTGTACAAGTGAAATCGATTTGAAACAATGATGCTGGGAAATCAATATGTGGAATGATGTTGCTTGACTTCGTTATATGACAAAAGAACATCACATAATAGTTACATACTGATGTGATTCCTCTCTTTCTGCTTTTCATTTTTTTTCTACATAAAATACTTCTTGAATAACATTTCAACGTGCATAATTTGCCCTTCTGAAGTTCTAGTTGGGTCATCATAATGGATTTGCCCAGTAGATTTTGTACATTTCTTTCTGAAAGCGAGCAAGTAAAGACACTGAGGTCCATCATCGCTTAGCACAATATGATCTAGCCGCAGTTTTGACACGAATTCCTTGCTCTGGACACCGGTTCTTACCTAACAGAGTGGATACTTTCACAATATCAAACGATAAGAGAACAGAGCAATTACATAATAATGCCCATTTTGGAGGCGTGAGCTCCCTTCACCCTCTGTAGGGACACCAGTGCCAACAGTAAATGGTAGCATGCACAGCCCCACTCGTGTTGTTATGGGAACAGTTTCTCATCATTCTGCAAGAGGGGTGATTCGAAATATAAGTGTGCCCTGCTGTGGATTGCACTTGAGAGGTTTAGAGATTTTTGGGGTATAGGTTGGACCATTCCGTACAACTAAATGAAAAAAGGATTAAATCAAACTGCTCCCAAAATGCACTCACCAATCGTCTCCCTTGACAAACAAACATATTTCCCACAAGG